GCAATTTACAAGATTCAGTTCAATCCCTATCAAAATCCCAGTGACATTTTTTGCAGAGATTAAAAAAAAAAAATCCTAAAATTCATATGTAATCTCAAAGGAACTGAGTAACCAAAACAATCTTGAAGAAGAACAAAACTGGAGGATTCATTTCCTGATTTAAAAGCTTACTACAAACTATAGTCATCAAGAGAGTAAAGACAAAGACAGATACATAAACCAATGGAATGGCATAAAGATCCCAGAGATAAAACCTCACATATGTGGTCAAATGATCTTTGACAAGGCTGCCAAGACCATTCAATAGTGAAAGGACAGTCTCTTCAACAAATGGTGCTAAGAAAGCCAGATAACCAAATGCAAAAGAATGAAGTTGAATCTTCATTTAACACAATATATTATTAAACTAAAAATGGATCAAAGACCTAATTACAAGACCCCAAAACTGGGGTGCCTGGGTGGCTCAGTCAGTTAAGCATCTGCCTTCAGCTCAGGTCATGATCCCAGGGTCCTGGGATCAAGCCCCACATCATGCTCCCTGCTCAGTGGGAAGTCTGCTTCTCCCTCTCCCTCTGCCTCTCCCCCGAGCTTGTGCTCTCTCTCGCTCACTCTCTCTCTCTCAAATAAAGAAATAAAATCTTAAAAAAAAAAAAGACCTGAAACTATAAAATTCCTGGAAGAAAACACAGGGAAAATTTCACAATATTAGGTCAGGTAATGATATAAACATATTTAAAACCACTGAACTATAGAGTAAAAAATGGTTAAGATGGTAAATCTTTAAATGATGCTGAGAAAATTGGATATTTACATGAAAAAGAATGAAACTAGGCCCCTATCTTAACCATACACTACTCACAAAAATTAACTTGAAATGGATTAAAGAGTTAAATATAAGATCTGAACACAGGAAAAAAGCTCCCTGACATAGTCTTGGCAATGATTTTTCAGGTATGACACCTAAACCACAAGGTAACAAAATCAAAAATAAACAGGGAGGACTACATCAAACTAAACCACAGGGGAAAAAAATCAACAAAATGAAAAGGCAACCTATGGAATGGGAGAAAATATTTGCAAATCGTATGATAAAGGGTTAAAAGCCAAAATCTATAAAGAACTCAACTCAATAGCAAAACCACAAGTAATCCAATTAAAAATCCAATTAAAAAGTAACCTAATTAAAAATCCAATTAAAAATTTAAAAAATCCAATAAAAAGATTCAAATGGCCAACAGGTGCATAAAAAGATGTTCAACATCACTAATCGTTAGGGAAATGCAAATCAAAACCACAATGAGATATCACTGCACATCTTTTAAAATGGCTATGATCAAAAAGAAAAGAAATACCAAGTGCTGGCATGGATGTGGAAAATGGGGAAACTTGTGCACTGTAGATGGGAATGTGAACTCGTGCTGCCACAGCGGAAAACAGTATGGCGTTTCCTCAAAAAACTAAACACGGAATTACCACATGATCCAGTAATTCCACTTCTGAGAATTAAAACCCCAGGAAACAAAAGCCCTGTCAGAGAAGTATCTGCACACCCATGTCCATTACAGCATTATTCACAACAGCCAAGACATGGAAACCGAAGTGTCTATCGATGGGTGAACAGAGAAAGAAAACATGGTATGTAGACGCAAGAGAATACTACTCAGCCATAAGAAAGAAAATCATGCCATTTGCAACATGAATGGACCTTGAGGACACCATGCTAAGCAAAACAAGTCAAAGACAAATGCTGTATGTCACACATATATGTGGAATCTAAAAATAAACAAATTCATAGAGATCAGATTTGTGGTTGCCAGAGGTGGGCGCGGGAGGTGAGAGAAGGAAGGCTGTCAGAAGCGACCACCTTTCTTTTCTTTTTTTTTTTATTAAAAGATTTTATTTATTTATTCATGAGAGACAGAGAGGGAGAGAGAAGCAGAGCGAGAAGCAGGCTCCCAAGGAGCAGGGAGCCCGACGCAGGACTCGATCCCAGGACCCTGGGATCATGACCTGAGCTGAAGGCAGACACTTAACAATCTGAGCCACCCAGGCACCGAGAATCGACCACCTTTCAATTTTAAGTACGGAGGACGTAATGCACAGCATGACTGCAGTTCACACTGCTGGGTGGTATATGTGAAAGGTGCTGAGAGAGTAGATCCTGAAAGTTCTCATCACAAGGATAAAAAAAAATTTTTACTGGTTTTTTTTTTTTTTTGGTATCTACATGAGATGATGGATGTTAACTAAACTTATTGTGGTAATCATTTTGCTATATATATATATATGTAAGTCAAATCATGATGCTGTACACCTTAACCTTACACAGTTCTGTATGTCAATTAAAGCTCGATTAAAACTGAAAAGAAAAACAACTCTGAAGAAAAGCAAGGCAGTGGCGTGATAAAGCCAGGATAGTGGTCACTTTGTGAAGGAGGGACCCAGGGGGTAATAACCATACAGGAGCATTCGGGAACCCTGAGATGCTGGTGACGTTCTGGCTCTTGACCTGGGCGGTGGTGATACCATCACCTTGAAATAATTCACTGAGCCGTACATTTTTGTGTTTTGTATTTTATTTTTTTGTTTAAAATCAACAAAAATTTTAAAAATTGAATGGAAAAGTCAGTTAAATCCACATTATAATTCACATGTCTCTCCTCAATAATTGATAGAAGTATACAAACTCAGTATGGTTAGAACCTGAACAACACCGTCAACCAATTTGGTATTTCTAGAACATTCCACTCAACTGCTGAATACACGTCTTTTCAAATACACATGGGACATCTACCAAGATAGACTATATATGCAGGGCCTAAAACAAGTCCTAATAAATGTTAAAGGATTGAAATCATTTAGAGTATGTTCTCTGGAGGCGTCTGGGTGGCTCAGTTGGTTTACGTGTCTGCCTTTGGCTCAGGGTCCTGGGATGGAACCCAGAGTTAGGGCTCCCTGTTCAGTGAGGAGTCCGCTTCTCCCTCTCCCTCTGCCCCATCCCCCCAGCTCATGCTCTCGCCCTCCCTCCCTAATAAATTCTTAAAAAAGAAAAGAATATGTTCTCAGACTACAAAAGAATTAAATTACAAACCAGTAATAGGTATCTGGAAAATCCCCAAATGTTTGAAAATTAAACACACATCTAAGTAATCAATGGGTGGAAGAAGAATCACAAGGAAATCAAGTATTTTGAACTGGGCCATTGGGAGGGGTAGGGGGGTGGAGATGGGGTGGGAGGTGGAAGTGGAGGGTGGGGAAAGGCAGGGGAGGAGAGGCAGGGGAGGTGAGGATGCGGTGAAGCCAGAGGCAGGGGGAGGAAGAGGGGAGGGAAGGCAGGGTGGTGAGCTGGGACTGAGGAGGTAGTCCAGAGGTAGATGGTAGTAAATAGTAAAAAGGAAAAAAAGAAAATATTTTGTCCTTTATTAAAATGGAAACAACGTATCAAAATTTGTGAGATGCAACTAAAATCATGCTCAGAAGGAAATTTATAGTATTAAATTATATTAGAAAAAAAGATCTAGGGGCATCTGGGTGGCTTAGTTGGTTAAGCATCTGCCTTCAGCTCAGGTCATGATCCCAGGGTCCTGGGATTGAGCCCAACGTCAGGCTCCTTCCTCAGCGGGGAGCCTGCTTCTCCCTCTCCCTCTGGCCTGCCACTCCACCTGCTTGTGCTCTCCCTCTAGCAAATAGATAAATAAAATCTTAAAAAAAAGAAAAAAATATCTAAAATCAATTCTTTAAGCTCCTACCTTAAAGAGCTACAAGAGTTAAGCTAAACCCAAAGTAAGTATAAGGAAAGAAAGAATAAAGGTAAGAAAAGAAACCAAATAAATTAAAAAAAAAAAAAAAAGACAACTAACAGTGAAAAGGAATGAAACCAAAGCAGGTTTATTATAAAATATAACACATCATAAAAGTACACATACACAAAAAAACATAGTGTAATGATTGACCAGAGTGAACACCTTGTAAGTACTACTTGATGAAGAAATGGGACGGGGCGCCTGGGTGGTTCAGTCAGTGAAGCATCCGACTCTTGATTTCGCCTCATGTCATAATCTCAGGGTCGTGGGATCGAGCCCCGTGTCAGGCTCTGCACTGAGCATGGAGCCTGCTTGAGAGTCTCACTCTGTCTCCCTCTGCCCCTCACCATCTGCTCAAGCTCTCTCTCTCTTAAAAAAAAAAAAAAAATAGGACAACCATCACCCAGAGAGCCCCTCCACAGTGTCCCTTCTCAATCACTAAACCTCTCCATACCTCAAAAAGCCATCACTATCCTAACTTTATGCAAATAATGTCCTACTTTTCAATATAATTATACCACCTAAGAATGCAAACTCTGGTCTAGAGTTGGGTTTTACCTGTTTTTTTAACTTACAGGATAACACAGTATATATTACACGTGTATGTTAGCCATTCATATACTTCTTTTGTAAAATGTCTGTTCAAATCTTTTCAACTAGTTTGCCTCTGAAATGATCAATAAAATCATAAACCCCAAACCAGACTGACCAAGATAAAGCAAGGAGATACAAATTACCAGTATCAGCAGAGAAAGAATGGCCTGACTCTAATAAATCTTCGAACATTAAAAGAATACAGAAATCTTATGAACAACTTTATACTAATTTGACAACCCACTTTACGCAGTGATTAAACCAGGCAGGTGTGCAGGAATATTCCAAAATAAAAACATTTGACATTTCTTACCTTCAAAAATCTTCAAAACTTAGACCCTGTTATCCCTTATCCCCACGTCATTGGAAAGAGAGGAGTACATACCAATTAGCTCAAAAACAACTTTAAGTGCTTACAATGCATGCTACATACTATGATTGCAAAATAAGGACATGGTCTTTTCTTGTAGTCATACAACCTTCATTTGGTTTAGTGACTCCTGGGAAAACAAATATGAATAAAAGACAATACCAGATTTATTAAAGATCATAATGCTATCATTTATTGAGAAGGAAACAAAAAGCAAAACAAGAAAAATTAAGAGCAGTTTTATGACGTCTTGGGGGAAAAAACAGCTTAATTACCAGCAAAATTCTTTCTCTTTGAAATGCATCAGTAAAAAGAAAACATTCGTTGTATGAAATAGAATCTCAAGGTAGGAAAAGTAGCACACAAGAACATATTTTTGGATATACAAAATTCAGTTATACAATCACCAGCATTCAAAATTAGTTGAATATCTCTGTACAATTACAAAAACTGATTCATGTTTTAACAAAGTATTTTTTAAAAGCTCATCATATTAGAACAGGCACAATGTTCTGAAGGCATGTAAATTCTCCATGGGCTTTTGAACATCTTTATCCCCAACTTCACCATCAGAATTTACAAAAGCAGCAAAATAAGAGTTGAGAGGATTTTAAATTTTTCCTTTCCTTGTTCAAAGTGGCTACATCAAGCAAACAGACTGAAAAAAGCAAAATAAACATTCTCATAGCAGAAAGACTGCAAAATTGAATGTAAACCATGCTTCTCCTTTAGAGTATGTTACAAATACAAGTTGCTTGTACTTAGAATAAGGCTCATTACCGGCAGTACGGAAGTTCGACAGAAAACATTCTGCCTAGATACCAATCTTCATTTGGTCGTAGAGGATACCTCACAAGGCCCAGGCAGCCCACTTATATCAGGGAATGTTTGTCTGTGATGCATGGGGTTCTTTCATACTATTTATCACATGTAGTAAACACGTGTTTACAACACATGTCGTGAACACGCACCTCAGCATTAGCTGTTTACTACAATGCTGTGGATGGATTTTTCATTTCAAATAGCCAAGTCTGGTCCACGAGAGGACGATATAGCACCTGCCTAGCGAACTCAATCTTCTCTGCTCTCAGCTCATCCCATCCAGAGAAAAATTTTGTGCATTTCTAAGCCCATTATTAGTGTATGGGCTCCGCTCGGAAGAATGGAATTTTATGTGGTCAATGTACATTAGCAAAGGGTTGCCTCACTGAGCTATGCTCACAAACTCTAGTGCGAGATCTCTGCCCAAGCTTCACGAGGCCTTTCTGTGCAACAGAAACCTGAGCACCCCACAACAAAGCTTAAGTGTACCAGGGACCTGGGAGTGTCACCTATGCCTTTGGGGTAGAACTGGAAATAGCCCAAAGTGGAACTAAGTAGCCCATCTTTGAGGGAACTGGGATCAAATGAAGTGCACAACAGTTTTCTCTTTACTTGACTGAAAACGCTCAAGATCACAGAATTTCATAAAATTCATAAACTATGAATTAGAAGGTACTTTAAAGTCACATGATTTAACCTCCCAACTAACTTTTTAAATAAGAATTTCCAAAAAAATAAAATTCTAAATCTAAATTTTTTTATATCTTATCAAGAGTTTCAGATATAAATCTATATTTAACTTCAGTTGTGGGTCTGTTACCTTTTTAAAAACTGCTATCTGCAAAAAACTAACCCTTAAAACATCCTAAAAAGTCTTAAATTTTAAAATTAAAAAAAACTCAAAAATTGAGTTTTTTTCAGTTATTTGCTGAAAATGAGGGTCAACGGTGGGTTGTGAATTTTTAACTAGTTTGTAATCCTGCAGCTGACTCCAGTCAGACATCTGAAGGAAGAGAAGGTGAGGCGGGCCTGGTACGGGCTGCCCCACAGAAAAGGGAACACACGGCCACGGGCTGAGCTCAGTTTCCTAATCCACTGCCCCGAACGTCACACTGCCACACTTGTCACTCTCCTGGAGCTGTCAAAAGCAGAAGCAGCTAAACCAGTACTTCCCACACCCTTTCTTCAAGGTATACCCCACTTCTTAATCATCTTTTCCAATGCAAGTGTCCAAAAGGAATTTATTTAGATGCACTTCATGATTTTATGTCCTGCTCCCTGAGCATACCATTAGGGTAGGAGGGAGGTGGCAGTCGGGGGATGTCCCACCCCCGGAAGTCCCCATACAGAATGATGGAGCACTGAGATCATCAACCCAGTGGAAATGCCCCACGGGGGATGATGTCCCACTTTCCCACGGAACCTCCAGCTGGGCCTGGGCAGCAGCGGCCAGGGGCATGGCCCCACACAGGATGTGGCAGCCAGAGTTGCCCGTGAGCACGGTCAGCAGAAGGGGAACCTCCTAGGTAGGGACATGGGCGGCAGGGAGTCACACAGCAGGCTCCAAGGCCCGGGAGACAGCTGTCTGGGCCTGGGGAGAGGCGCAGCGCCCAACGCAGTACCCACAGAGGGAAGCGTGGTGCTTGGGGCACTGCTCACATGCAGCTGGAGGCACCACCTCACCTCCGGGGAGCATGCTGCAGTGCAAGAGTCGCCTGAATGATTCCTTCCATTGCAAAAATGCAACGACCTCTCCTTCCCCCAGCAGTGAAGTGGAGGGGGGGGTGTTGCAGGAAACCAAGATGGGACTGCCAGCCTGCCAGCCGCAGGGTCTGAACCCTAATTCCCCACTCTCTCGCCCACCACGGTGCTTGCAAACTAGCACTGTTGCCTGGTAACAGCTTTCAGCAGCTTTAACATGGATTTCTTCCTCCCACCATGCAGGAGGCAAAAACAAGTAGGGAAAGCCAAAGGGTGAGATGGCAGAAGGGAAATGCAGGAGTCTGGAAGATCCCGAACGGCAGGATCATCCAAAAGCTGCCCGGTGTCCTGACTGGAGCAGTCTGTGCAAACTGGCCACAGGCCGGGCGTTAGGGCAAAGCAGGCACTTTAACGCAAGAACCACCGCCCTCTACTGGTGAGATCTGGAGGGACGCCTACCCTCCCTGAGGCTGTTCGCCTCTTCAGTAAGGGAAACAGGACCACCAGCCTGCAAAGTCACTGTGAATATTAAATGAGACCAGGCATGGCAACGCTACTGTGCTGGACACATAATGCTAGATACATATTTTGTAGATAAGTTAATGGTCAGAGACATTCACCTGTCACCTTCAAAGGTCATCGGTTACTTCTGGGACGTAATAATAATACCTTCCTTTTCCTGAGATATCGTCTGCATTCCCTGGGCTCCAGGCAAAGCACCTGACACACAGCTCACTGATGGACAGTGATCCAGCAGGAGCTGTTACCTCTGTTGTCTTTAAAGGGAGGAGCCAGAGCTTAAGTAACTTGCTCAAACTGACACCAGTATGTGACCGAACCACAACTCACACCCAAACCTGTGTGCCGTCAAAGCCCACACCCACTACCACTATCCTACACAGCCTCGGTGACACCTCAAAAGGCACCTCGACCTCATGTCCCACAATGTCAAGCCCAGACATTGCAAAGGGCCAGAGGGTTCAGCCGTCTAGTTACTCCAGGCTGGCTGGACCTCGTAGAGACAGGCTAGCCCCACACCCGCTCTTAAGAGAGGGCATGACAGACACTCCGGACCTCCTTTGGGCCCCTTTCTAGAGCGCCTCCAAGATCTGAGCTATCTCCTAGGGGCGCCTCAGATGTAAAAGAACTCCACAAAAGCCAGAGGGTAGCACATAATTTCCCTTCCTGGCTGAAGGCAGGTTAGGAACCTCAGGATAAGCCAGGGTGCCCTCCATAGCCTAGAGAGGACCCGGTGAGACTGCCTCCTCACTCTGGCCCTCTCAGACCTGCTCACAGCTCCGCAGCTCAGAGGAAAAGGCTGGCCGGTCAGCTGCAACAGGAGAAAGAACTTAGCAATTGGCCACAAGCAAGGAGACGACACGTGGACCACAGCCTTTGGTGTGGAGGTTCCAGAGCAAGAACCCGAGTGGGCCAGCTAGACCTGGGTAAGGAACAGAAAGGCAACCCCAAAGAGATTTCACTTATGGGGCTGCTTTAGAGGACCCGCAATGCCAAGAACTCTGGCAATCAAGATAGGGCATTTATGCTGGTCAGGCAGCAAGGAGGAGCTACAAGGGCACACAAATGAACAACGGAGAGCCTACAGAACCAGGAGGAAGCATCCCAAAAGGGAAACTGGGCAGGAGACAGTGCAGCGACGTAAAGAGATTGGGAGCAGAAAAGGCACAGGCTTGGCTGATGAGAACAGGCAGCACAGTTAGAGGAGGCGCCTCCGGAGCCACGCCAGGAAACACGGGGGCACGGAGGGGACTGAAGCTGGGGCGCCCAGACTCCGGGCCCCGTTCTGCCACCAACCGTGGCTTTGAGGGAATCTGCTGACCTCTCTGAGCCTGATCTCTTTGACTGCCCAGTGAGAGAACCATCGCCACTTCGTCACCAGGCTCTCGTGCGCCCAGACAGAATCCCGGGCACAAAGCACCGTATACTGTGAGGCAGGGGCTGCGATGCACGCCCCCTGCCGCCCACAGCGTCCCGCCCCCGGTGCTGTGGCGTGGGCTCCGCTGGAAACCCTGGCACTGCTGGAAGGTCACCGGGCAGGCGTGCCTCCTTCCCGCGGGCCCCACAACGGGCTCTGCCTTCCCACTCGCTCTACCCTGGCCCCGTTCCAGGGGAGAATGGAAAACAGAATCAGTTTAAAAGCAACATTAATAAATAATGGGGAAAAAAAAAAGAGTGGAAAGCAGCAAGACTTTTCCCTCCCATCAGCTCTTGTGCAAAAGCAAAGTGTCTGTTCTGACACCAGTATGTGACCGAACCACAACTCACGCCCAAACCTGTGTGCCGTCAAAGCCCACACCCACTACCACTATGCTACACAGCCCCGGTGACATCTCAAAAGGCACCTTGACCTCATGTCCCACAACGTGGGACATGCTTCGTCCCCAGTCCAGTTCCAGGAGGCCGTGAGAAAAGCTACATGTTAGGGGAGAAAGAAAGAAAACCCCGAGAGAAAAAGAGTGCATGGAATGTCAGAAGATACATTCCATCGTCAAGTGTGGAATCAGAAGAACAATAAAGCCAACGTGCACATATCCCCAAAAAGTGCTCCTTTCCCAGGTCACTCTACGAGCAGGCTCTCCACGGGCTTGTGTGCAGCTGCCGGCGGGGTGGAGGGGGCAGACCCCAGAGCAGAAGCACGTCCACACTGGGTGAGGCGGGGGAAGGTTCTCCATGCTGAGGGCAAGTCCACAAAGTCCCCGCAGACCCCAAAACCCTGTCCCTTACGGCCATACCCCTGCCAGCTCTAATGGGGCCACCTGTCACCCCCAGAAGAGCCCTGACTCCCAAGCTGACCTGTGGCTGCTGAACAAGGTTTTTATTTAGAAGATTTCAGTAGAACACTTCATCTAAAGAGGGAACAGGTGCATGAGGAATAATCTACCCCATGAGATACAGAACCCACCTCTCATACCGTGCTATAGACATTTGGGTTTGGGACCACAACATTGCCTCCAAAAGCAACCCTCAAATGTTCAGATCACAAGCAACACACTGCTGCAAGAGAAAAGGCACGTGTCTGTAAGACAGAGGTTTAGAAAGTATTTACAGAACTGTCCACCAGCTTCCGTCCACGGCGCCTTCCAAAGCCTTGCACAACTGACCACGTGCTATGCAAGACAGGCAGCAAAACACTTCTTCACAGCATCCCTAGGAAGAAAACACACAAACATCAATGAGAGATCATCACCCCCAAAGGCCCCTGTAAGTGGTAAAGACCCTCCTGCAGATATCCTGGGCACCCAGAGTAGCATCCTGCGGGGCAGAGAGCACCTAGGCTGTGGGGTCGAGCTCCCTGGCATCAAACATCAGCTTCAACATCAGCGGTATTACTTTGGGCAAGTGATTTGTCTTACTGAGTTCCAAACTCCACATCTGTAAAAGGGGATGTCCCACTTACCCTAAAGACAAACTGCAGAAATTAATACAGTGAATAGAGTAGGTATCAAATGACAGCTATTCATGATAACCAAAGGAAAAGACCAGAAGAAAGTAGAGGTTATCAGAAACCAAGAACAGAGGACTGTGCACTTTAATGTCAACCAGAATCACCAGATGCACTGAAAACATCAGATCCAGTAGTCACTGGGGCATTTCTTCCAAACAGCAGGAAGTTGCTAAGGGACAGCGTGCAGGAGTTCCCAAGCAGAGGGGACTCTCTGTAGTGACCGAGTACTTATTAACCTGCTATTAGGTCTGTCTCAGAAGTCACTGCACAGCATGCAAGGAAAGAGTGGGTGCTCGATCAATTACTGTCCTATTCAAGCAAGCACGGCCAACTGAGGCACCACGTGTGGCTAGTACGAGGGCTCCCCACCCCGACTCTGTTCCTCTGCTCCCAGCTGCACTCGCGCCAAGGATCCTGGCAGTCACGGAGGCAGGGAGAGGTAAATGAATGCATTTGCATGGGTGGGCATGGTGCTTTAATAGTAAGATAATTCTAGAGCAGCATTTCTTAAGATATGCTCTACACTGTAGTCCCAGGAGACGGTTTGCAGAAGAGAGAGTTTTACAACCAAATAAGATTCCTCATGGCAGCTAACAACACACATATCAAAGGACCTGGAAAGCTGCATAACAAGGAACCCATCTAATTTTGCTTAAGCCCTTCCCAAACTTATTTGACCCTGGAACCCTTTTCTACCATGTAACCACTATTCCTGTGGAACACTGTGGGAAAGGCCTAAGCTCTATAAATGCCAGTCCAGGTCAAGTCTGCAGCCCTGAAGAATGGCACCAAGCAGGCCCGGCTTCATGGGTCAGAGACGTGTGCAGTTTCATGGGGCCCCATACTTCAAGGGTTCCGCCTCCGGTTTAATGCTCTGAGGCTGCCATCTTGAAATTCTCCATCATTTTTTAACAAGGAGCCCACGTTTACGTTTTGCACTGGGCCCTGAAAATTATGGAACTGGTACCGGCATGAGGATACATTCAAATTGTCGGCAAATTGATAAATAGGTCACTGGATGCTCAGGGATGATAGGTTCTGGCTTATTTCACATAAAAACCTAGTTGCCCAAGACAGCTCTACCCACACTCTTCTCAGACAAGCCACCATCCCCCCAAACTGGCTGGGTCAGCAGAGTACTTCCTGTTAGAACCTATTCCCAAGCCACGCAGCTTGTGATGAGCTTGCAAACTTCTCATCTGACACCCCCAGCATCTTCAAATCACTGACAGCACTGAGGCTGAGCACATAAGATGCAAGCCTGCTCTTCTTCCTCCCCAGCTCCCATGCAATTTTTCATCCTCTCAATACAGCTTAAGAAAAGCTGCTTTTTAGCTACAGGTAATGACAGGGATGTATGGAAATTAAACCACTGCCTGAGAGCAGAGTCAGGCAAAGATCACATGGCCAGTTTTGAGAGGCCCATCCCTGAAAGTGCCAATTAAAGGAGGTGTGGCGGCTGGAAGGGCCTCTGGGGATGACCTGACCCAGCCCACTCTGCTTATCCCTGAGTCCTCTCAGGCCACAGGGGTCCAGTGGGCTGCCCAAGGTCATACTGCTAATTAGGAAACCCTGGTCCTCCGAGTCCTGGCCCTGCTGACTTTCCCTTCATAAACTCTTCTGGAACATTCTCATCGATGAGACACTGCAAAAAAACAAGCATGAGCTTGGATTCCTCCACCCCCTCCTCAGGGATACGAGAGTGATATTCACCTTTAAGAAGATCTCCGCAAAGCTACAAGTTCAAAGAGTGATTACATGCACATACGCACTACGTATCAAGGAGAATGTTCATGCCACTGGAATAGGTGGTCCTGGGCCAATGCCTATCACCCCATAATGCAGGGAGGGGAGGGGTAGAGAGGACCCTCAGCTTACTAATCTATAAAATAGGTATAAGACACTTAACCTCTTTGTCTAAAAGAACTTTAGTGAAGATAGAATAAATAATGTGTTCTCTGAAAGCACTCAAAACAGAGGCCCTTTGCAAACACACCATCATCCCCAAGTGACAAAAGTCACAGTCGTAAACACAGTTAGTCTTACCTTGCATAGGGTATGAAGGAAAGGCTATACCTGCAATGAAAACAAACAAGAGACGAAATCAAATGGAGGGAATCACTGGAAGGAATGGGCCCCAAGCTGTGAGGCACCTGCCATGATGGCCCAGACCCTCTCCTTCCTCAGCGCAGGGGGTACAAGCACACCCATGCACACTCACATATGCACGTGAACACACACACCATGCCACACGTACAGGTTGGGGGGGTTGTCATTGGTGGCCAGAGAAGGGCAAAAAGCCCATATGGAGGTGACCCTGTCACCTCAGCCTCACAGGGTCAGCAGATCCCACATATCAGGATGGCACAGAGCCCTATTCTAAAAACAACACCAAATAAAACCCAGATCAGCTATCCTCTAATATTTTACAAATCCTCAACAAAATGAACTTCTATCCGAATGGGATAATTTTCTGCTCTGCTCCTATTAATTGTAAAAGAAAAGAAAACAGAAAGAAAAAAAAAACCCACTACCAACTATACTATGGATAAAAATATAAGCAAGCTATGATTCTTCGAGAAGCCAAGCCCAAAGATAACTTGGTGATCCCAGTTGGCTCAGGCCCCTCACCCAACGGAGGCCCATGCAGGGAGGAGGCCACAACACTAAAGAACCAGCCCTGAGAAAAACACAACATAGTCAGGGCTGGAGGGAATACTGCCATTTGCTTGAGCCCATATGAATGATAAACCTCTGAAAACTGGCTTCAAATTCAGTCTATAAGCCAAAAAAAAAAAAAAAAGGCATGTACATTTGAGTACCAATTTCATCCCCTGGGGGGAAAAAAAAATATATATATATATATATAAATATAAGCCATCAAACCAGGTCTTTTGGTACCTACTCCCAAAACATGTGTATCATTAAAATCAGCCCATGATTCTTCTTAGGTTCCCCATGTACAAAATTCACTTACTTGTGAACATAGTAAATTCCAAAAAGCATTTGAGTATATTTATTCAAAAGTCCCAAATGACTAAAGGGAGGGATGGGTGCTCAGCTTGCAGCCTCAAGCCCCATTTCTACCACACAGGAGTACAGTTGATCCTTGGAGGCTTTAGAACTTTCAGTCCTGTCTCCTTTGCACTAGAGAAAACATTTTTTTTCCGAAGCAGATCAGCACATCTCTATGGAAACTGTTCAGGCAGACCTCATCCCTTCATGAACTCTGGAAGGACTATAGCAACATCTCAGAAGCCATCAGTTTCATGCCTGCCAGTACCACTCTCACTCTGAGGTTGGACCAGAACCTACAGCCCCATCCGCGGCCCCCTGTAACGACGTCTCCAGCGCCCCTTTCACTATGCGTGGCTCTTGAGCTACAACCCCCTGGTCTTGCCAACAGCCTGCAGGGCACCTGTCGATCGTGCTGCCCACGGCCACGTGGTTTTCCGTTTCATCACTCACTGTCCCTCATCTCCTGCTGACAATTCCCTCTTTGTGCTTTGGCTAAATCATCCATCCCATCACAAATGCAGCTCATCACTTCTCACCACTCGCTTTCCTTCAACATCTATCTGACTCACAAGCCTCTTTCTACCAGCCTCCATAATACTTCACTGTCCTTGCTCCTACCGGACAGAAGTGATTGAATAACATTTATGACATCTCAAAATCAACCAGGAGCCCCGCAAAAAAAAAAAAAAGAAAAAACACTGCAGCAGGCAAACAGCCTCCACCGACCACCCAAGACCACTGATGCCATCTATTGGACACGGGGCTGAGTCCACAGACTTTGGCTCTGGAGTCTGATTTCACTTGCATCATTGAGAATTCTTAATTTGAAAAGTTTCTATGTTTTTCTACCCTCCCCCCCCCACACACACACCGTGGGATTTTATCTCCTTCAGCTGCATTAGTCAGAGAGCGACGTGGGAGGAGACTAAAACATCACTTACCATGTCAGGGCCAAGGACTGCAAAATGCAGAAGATGAGCGCGAGCCCCTTGTTATGCCACTGAAAGAAAAACGGACAGTTAACACCCAGTGTGTGCGACAAGAGGCACAAGCCAAAAAGGTTCAAGAGAATGAAAATACACACTTACCCAAAAGGCAGAACACAGAGTAAGTGCAAAACACAACTAGGGAGAGAGGAAAAACATTAATTAATACAGTGACAACACGGAGAAAAATACTGTTAAGACTTTGCCATTCTTGGGCGCCTGGGTGGCTCAGTTTGTTAAGCAACTGCCTTCGGCTCAGGTCATGATCCTGGAGTCCTGGGATCGAGTCCCGCATCGGACTCCCTGCTCAGCGGGGAGTCTGCTTCTCCCTCTGACCCTCTTCCCTCTCGTGCTCTCTATCTCTCATTCTCTCTCTCAAATAAATAAATAAAATCTTTAAAAAAAAAAAAAAAAAGACTTTGCCATTCTTGGCAAACTTACAATACTTATCCCCACATAGTAACCAGATTCTGTGATGATCACAGCGACCAAAGCTGTCCTCCCTCTCAAAGCGCTGGACCCACGGTGAGCACCCATGTTTGGCAGAAGAGTTAAAATCCCGATGAAATGAAACCAGCCAATAAGATCAGATGTAGATTAAAAAGAAATGGATCCTCTTTGACTTCCAAATTTTCCCAAATTCTCTGCCCAGAAAGTAAAACCTGGTCCACCCCTCACCCATCCATCTTTTCATTCAAACACACTAACATTGGTCAAACACACAGCTCTGTATTTGAACCCCTGCCAAAAACACTTGTGTCTGGAGCAGAGGCAGGGATGAAGAGTAACACGAGACATCAGGCAGTCGGTTATGTGTTTACGTGTCACCTAACACGTTCCCTGAGTCCTTTCTTAGAAAGTTCTTTCTACAAGAGACCTGTCCGGACCATCTACATCCCAGGGCTGGCCAAGAACAATGGCGCTCGAGCTGCAGGTCATGCCCGTCCTCTCTGTCCTTCCATAGCGTAACGACTCAATAAACACGCCCGAAGTACTCCCTCTGTGGCCAGCACTGGGCCAGCGCATATGCAGTCAACAGCAAACGTGGACACGGCCTTAGAGAACGCACCTATCTGAACAAACAACATGGACAGAATTAAAACTAAAACTAAAAGCACACTGATCAAGTCCCAAATGTTGCAATAAAGGTGATTTTAACTGAAAGCCAGCGCATGTGGTCTGGAATGATTCTCACGGTCACACAGAAGGCAGCAGTCCAGAGGAGGAAGGGGTATTCGAACCAACAGGAGAGGAGAATGGGACAAGCTGAAGGCACTGCTGTCCAAGCAGGGAACAGAGAGGAGGGGCCGCGAGGAGAGCACACCCGCATCAGAAAGACAGATGGAAACAAACAATGGCAGTCAGACAATGTGGAGGGAAGAGTGAGCTGCTCCAGGAGACCAGACGCCCACTCCAGGGGGCGAAGCCTGTGTTTCTGAGTCACTCCCTCTAAGCTCTGCCTGTGTGTGGCTTCCCCAGTGTCCAGGAGGACCTCATCCACATCAATGTGGCTACTCTGAGCAGCCCGCTGTGGGCGGGGGGGGGGGGGGGGGAAGGGCGCTGGCAGAACCCGAACACCAACTGAAACACCAAGGGCATAATGATCAGATGCAGAATTCTCCCGCTGCCTCCTCGGTGGTTACAGGCTTCGGGAGTAAATCGAGATGAAAGGAAAAAGAAAAGAGGTTTTTAGGTTGAAGACGAAAAAAACTCCATGCAGCAGAAATAAAAAGTCCCATTTCACAAGTGCAGCTAAAAGGGAGGCCTTACCAGCACCATGATGGTTGCAATCAAACGGGTCGGCTCAAACATTCGCTTCAGCTGCTTCATCGGCCCCATGAGGAAGACGGTGCTGAGAGGCAAACACACACAAGCCATTCAGGCCAGACCAGACCCACCCCAGGCACAGCCCGCCGCCTCCCCATCGCCTCCCCAGGTTCACCCTTGGGGGTCACAGCAGTAACGGCAGCTCACAGCTGAGAAGTTCTTGCTACCTGCCAACCACTGTGCTTACGGGCCTTCTCACCTAATCCTTCAACAACCCATGGGGCTGATGACAGGAATCATCATACTTCCTCCGCAAAGGAAGAAACCGAAGCCCGAAGGATCTGTTACCTGTCCAGGGCTCCCCAGCTCCTCAGGCTCTAAGTGCATGGAGGTCTGACTCTAGAACCACATCCAGAGCCACCAGGTTGGAGGACCCCTCTCTCTAAGAGGTGCTACCTTGCCTCCTTAACAATATACCCATGCAAACAAACAAACCAAAGACTCAGATCATTTTAAAAAGAGAAACCACACCTGACAGGTTTAGGTTGCTGATATGAAAAAGTAAAGTGCTTCACTTTCTTTCATAGTCTCCAGAGAATAATTCTACTGATCGTATCATCTATGATTTGTTCAGTGTTTGCTAAATGCCAGATAGGACATACTCAACCTCATTCCATCCCTCAGCAACTCTGTAAGTTAGGTGTTATTACACTTATTTATTTCAGAGACGAGAAAATGAAGCTCAGAAAGGTTCATTTACTTATCCACAATCACACAGCTAGGAACTTAAAGAGCCAGCATTCAAACCCACATCTACTGGATCCAAAGCTCCGAAAGGCATCCCTTGTGCACTTTCAGTGTGAATGGAACTTGAGAGGGGGCTGTGAGGGACAGTAACCCAAGCAGATCCTCATGCCGAACCCGAGGGTTAGGTCTGTCATGTCTCTAGATTCCTGACAGAAATGCCCCATGTGCCTGGCATCACCCCACAGTAGCCCTGTAACATCCAGAGTTTTAGCATTAGCTACCGGGTGTTTGGTACAAACAGAAATTTAAAAAATGAGTCTACCTCTCTTTAAAGTACCATTAAGTTTCAACCTGAATTCATAGCTGCACTCTTAGCCAACACTGAACAAGAAGCAAGAGCCAAGACTGGCCTTAAAAATTTAATGCAGCATATATACAAAAACATAACAGATTATAGGGGCGCTCGGGTGGCTCAGTGGGTTAAGCTTCTGCCTTAGGCTCAGGTCATGATCTCAGGGTCCTGGGATGGAGCCCCACGCCATCGGGCTCCCTGCTTCTCCCTCTCCCTTTGCCTGCCACTCCCCCCGCTTGTGCTCTCTCCCTCTCTCTGTCAAAGAAGTAAATAAAATCTTTAAAAAAAAGTAACAGATTATAGGTAAAGCCATAAACTCCTAGACACATCCTGGAAATAATCATTTGCTCCCTTTATTACTTCTGTAGGCAGTGCCATAAAGAGTTGACCCTATTAGGGTTTGCTAAATAGTTCTTCTAGACTAACCAACACACGCCAGTATTTATGCTCTATTTATAGACTCGACATTAAACCTACACTGTCTGCCCAAAGCAAAATGCTCCAAAAGTTAGTATTTGAGAGGGCTTTAGAGGCGAGATGAGACATCTCTGAGAGCCAGCATTTTACTATCATAAGCATTCATAAATTTTTAGAAGGGTAGCCAGAGTCGTGTACTCAATCATTTGGTTAACATTTCCAGCCAAAAACAGAGCTAAGTTTGGGGACAATTAGGGACAGGTAAGGCAGACGTATAGATAGCCCTTGTCAAGTGGCTCAGAGACTTGTAACAAATCAATGTAATAAAATGCTATCTGTGCTGTCACAAAAATATACTTGGGACATACAGAGTCCTATATGAAAGAAGAGGTTTTTGTTTGGGGGGGGGGTGGGGAGAGGTAACGAGGAGAAGATTCACAGGAGTGGTGATTTTTGAGCCAAGTCCCCACAAATGAGCAAGAATTCACCAAAATGAGGGGGGTAGGGCACAAAGGGAGAGATACAGATGGGGCAGCATTCTAGGCAGAGAAATTAGCCCCAGAAGAGGCACAAAGACGTTTGGGGAAATGCAAGAAGGTCGGCCTGGCTGGGGAATGGAACTGGGCCTCTCCTGCATGCATGCACCTGTGGCGGAAATGAGGCACTGCTAGAGAGTGAGCCAGGGCTGTAACCGAATGCTGGAAATGGCCAGGAGGGACACGAAAGGAGACAGAGAAGCCAGCAGAGGAATCCTGTGGTAGTTCAGTTGGGAAGTGATACGAGCCAGAGCTAAGAGCAGCTCAGGTATCACCATCTCTAGAAAGCCCTCCCTGGCTCCCTGGGTCAGATCTCGGCAGCTGCCCCTCCCTGAGCACCTCTTTCTCCATGCCCTATTATATTATCAGTTCACATGTCTGTCTGTCTGGCCGACCAGTGAGCTCCACCGCGGCCCCAATGTCTGTGCGTGCTCAGAGCCCAGCCCAGGGTGTGAGCAAGGCTTAGTCACTGAGGACGTGAGTCCCATGGTCAGGGACAATAGCCACAGAGACAAAGAGGAAGGGGCCAGGAAGGGGTGGGCACCAAGCCATGGTGAGTAATATACAGGGGCCGGGGCTTGGACACCCAGCACTCTGAGGCCATTGACTGAGATACAAGGGAAGGCGGCGGGAGAGGAAAGGTCACGGAGTTCAGGTTCCAGGGGGCCATGTAGGCCGAAGTCAGGCCAGCACTCCCAGCTGGGAGCAGGACTGTTGCTGTCTGCACACAGTGTGGCTGAAGCATGAACTGCACTTGATCTGGGCTATCTGTGTACCTGCAGCATGCAAAACGGGCTGCCACGGTTCCCTTATATGTAAAACCTCAACAGTAACTCTATCCCAGGAGATTTCAAAAATAAACTAAAATAAGGGCGCCTGGGTGGCTCAGCTGGTTAAACATCTGCCTTCGGCTCAGGTCATGATCTCAGGGTCCTGGGATGGAGCCCACACGCCTGGGCTCCCTGCTCAGTGGGGAGTCTGCTTCTCCCTCTCCCTCTGCCCCTCCCCCCATGCTCTGACTCTGTCTCTCGCTCTCTCAATAAATAAAATCTTTAAAAAAATAAAAATTAAAAAAATAAACTAAGATACAAAAATACTGGGAGGCGTGGGTGACTCAGTCAGTTAAATGTCCAACTCCTGATTTTGGTCATGATCTCAAGATTGTGGGATCGAGCCCTATGTCGGGCTCTGCACTGACCTCAGAGTCTGCTTGTCCCTCTTCTGCTCCTCCCCACCCACTCCTCACTTGCCCTCTCTCTCTCTCAAATAAATAAGTTATTTATTATTTACTTAGAGAGAGAGTACACAAGCAGGGGGAGGGGCAGAGGGAGAGAGAGAAGCAGACTCCCCTGCTGAATGGGGAGCCTGACATGGGGCTCAATCCCAGGACCCCAAGATCATGACCTGAGCCAAAGTCAGACACTAACTAACTAAGCCACCCAGGCACCCCAATAAATAAAATCTTAAAAAAAAAAATACTAAAACTTTTTTTTTTAAAGACTTTATTATTTATTTGACAGAGAGAGACACAGCAGGAGAGGGAACACAAGCAGGGGGAGTGGGAGAGGGAGAAGCAGGCTTCCCGCTGAGCAGCAAGCCCGATGCGGGGCTCGATCCCAGGACCCTGGGACCAGACCTGAGCCAAAGGCAGACGCTTAACGAACTGAGCCACCCAGGCGCCCCCCTTTTCAGTAATTTTTAAAGAGGAAATTTTTTGAAAGGAAATTTAGCATAGGGTTCTTAGCATTTACCGTTCATTAACTTTATATGATAAAGTTGGATATGATATATTTTAACTACATTTGGTGAGAAACCAATCCTTAAAACTATTAAAGCATCCTCCTTTACCTCCCTCAAGCACAATCCACACCCATTTTCCCATCTAGTGATTGGCTATGGTTAAATTTAAAAAAAAAAAAAAAAAACAACAACACCTGTTACCTCCCAATTGATGCGATGTTACCAAAGGTATAAAACACTGCAAAGAGGTATAGTCCCTTCCTGGGCACCCAGAGCAGAAGAGTTCCCTGGAAGATAAAGCACAGGGCGTTTGCACAGAGGACCCCTCCTACAACAGTCTACAGCCAAGAGTGCACAGAGACACCCAGTCCCCTCCCCACCCTCCTCAGCACCTCCCTCTCTCTCTCATCCATGCATCCCACGAAGAGCAAGAGAAAAGGAGGTGGACAAAAGGGGAAAGACAGAGGGAAGGAGGGACAGGGTGGGGAAAAGACAGGGGAGGAGAGGGACATCTTACCAGCAGGGAGCAGACGATTCCTGTAGCAAAACATGCAATGAAGCCTTTTATTCTGGTACCCCAGCTTAATGAAGATGCCTCAACAACCTGAAATTTTTAAAAAAGGGATTACATACACGTATATGCATGTTTAAGCACCAGAAACAAGGGAAGCACATAATTAGATTGAGCGTGTGAGTTTGACCTGTGGAAGGCAGGAACAAGAATCCGACTCACTCAAGCTACAAGAGCCCTCCTGAGTCATGGAATCCGGCTCCTTATCCATCCACAAATCCCCTCTCTGGCAGCAGGTAAGAGGTTACCGAGCCTCTAGGTGAACATCCCCAGAGGTATAAACTCTCCACCTGAAGCACAAACCATTTCACACACAGCACAGCAAGGCAGTAGACCCTAGAGTAGCCCAAGCCCTTACACAGCCCTGGCCGGACAAGGACAACCAGGAAGCCATGAGCTCCGCCAGGCAGGGACCCAGGAAACGGGGGCCGGTCGGGGGCCGGCACTCAGGGGGCTGGATCCACCGGGCATGGTCTCCTACATCAACCAGCCCAACTTGGGCAGTAGCTACTCCTATCGGCCATCTCTGAGATGCCGAAGGACTAAGGCTCTCATCTGTGTCAGGGCCCTGAGCTGAATCTATTCATGCCGTGCTTCGAGGTGCTGGCATCAGCCAAGTCACGCAAGCATGAGACAAATCCTAGGTAATTCACTGCAGCCCTACTCATCTGACTCTCCGCTACCATAAGTAACCCCTCCCAAAAGTAAAGCTCCGAGGATGCCAACTTTTCCCAAGACAACTCTGCTAGAACAGGAGAGCCTGCAAGTAGCTCCCAAGGGTTTTTCCCCCGCGTCAAAGAGGACAGCCCGGAATTTACGCCAAAGACCTTCCTAGTCTGTCCACATGATGAAAGTAGCCACAGCTGCTCCAGGCTGGGGACAGACAGCTGCCACTGAGACCAAAGGTCCTGCCTCCTGCCCAGGCAACCCAGTGTATTCACACCAGGCTCACCTCGTGTGGCCAGCACAGTCTCCCTCCCGCAGGGGGGAAAGCTGCAAGTAACATTTCCACCCCCTGATGAACGAAGGTGGTGGCAGAAGCTGCAAGGGACACCGGACTGACAACTCCTTCGGCCTTGACTGCTCCCAGCTCAGGGACCCGTCTTCAGCCCTGTCTCCAAACTTCCTGTCAAACCAGACCGCCTGGAAAGAAGGAACAGCGGCTCTCCCAGGTATGGTCAGCATTGCTACAGAGGGCTTAATTTCCATTCAGGAGAAAGGCAGTCTTAAGGGCAGGTTATCAAAAGGGGTTTTCCTCCTCCCGCATTTATTCACACTTTTTATTTTTTCTAGAGAGGGAGAGGGAGAGAATCCCAAGCAGGCTCCACACCCAGCACGGAGCCCGACGCCGGGCTTGATCTCACGACCCTGAGACCATGACCTGAGCCGAAATCGAGTCGGACACTTAACTGACTGAGACGCCCAGGCGTCCCTGTTCACACGTATTTAAAGTGGGCTCGTAACACTGCAATCCCCCACCACACACAAAGTACTTGCGGAAACACAGGGCACCGTAGGACACTGCACAGAAAGGCGCCATCGGGGATGGTAACCACGCCGTGGGCACAGGGTGTCAGGACCTGACAGATGGACCACCTGGTTCCGTGCTGAGGCACAGCGCACCTCCCAAATGAGCCACATGGTGCTCTGTTAGCAGGCTGCACTGGCAGCCCCCACAATCAGGTCAGCCTTCTGACTAACATGTTCAACCTCCCACCAAGAAGAAAATAAAATCAGAAGCCACCACTCCTCCTACTCATGCAAGAAACAAAGAACTTACTTTGCCAGGTAGAAAAAAAGAAGTGAGCTACACGCGGGGAGAAAAGTGTCGGAGCAGAACCGGACCGGATTCATGGCTTGAGCACTACTTGGCATCAACAGGGGTATTTTAAGAGATTTGACCTTTTTTATTTTTTTTATTTTTGTGTGTGTGGAGAGGATAACCCATAAGGTTAAGTGTCAAGTGTGAGCTGGCCTTGGCATTTACAGAACTAAATATGGTGTCCACGTCCCAGTCCTCGTAAAAATCAAACTCATGGATGAGAGGACATAGTTCTGGTTTCTTTCTTCGGAAAGGAGAGTGACGTGTTGGCTCTACAAGTCTCTCAAGCTGAATTTCCACCCAAATGTCACCCTAGTTGGCAAAATGGGGGGAGGGGGTGCAGATAACCTTTCATCACTGTGTCTTCCCACTCTGTGTCATCACACTTCTTTTACCAGCTGGACTCAGTGAAGGCTAAGCCCTTCTTTTTGCCAATTTATAAAAACGAACTCAGTTGATATAAAAGGCCTCTCTAAATTCATGGCTGCTGGGGCACCTTCTGGAAATCAGAGTAGCTAAAATAGTCCCTGGCTAGAATTTACAGGCGATCTGCACCCAAGCTGTCTGACTGGCAGTTAGGAACAAAGGTCCCTCTGACTTGGGGATGTGGAGAGAAGAAAGGTGCTTGCCAAAATGAAGTAAAGCTAAGAACTGTTGGAGGAAACAGGGCTGGTAACCAGAAGAAGGTGAGAAATGAATACTGCTTCATACCTGTGCTTTCAAACCAGGTACCACTCATCCCTTCCTCATCCCTGGAATCCTCTATGAGAAAAATAAAACCTATACTTTAAGAAATACGCCCACTAAAACTAAAGGTTGAAGGCGGATTTATGAAGGTGAGGTATCAATTAAAAACCTCGTCAGGAGGGTATTGGTGATTAGGCATTGCCAAGTAGTTTTTATACCCAGTTTCATATGTAGGAGAAACAGAACTAGCCATGCTTTTATTGTTTACATTAAAAGGATAAAAACTTGAAAAGCACTCACTTATGGTGACCTCTGACAACTTAATTTAATTTGAAAAGCCCATAAGGCCACGTAGTCCAACTTACCACACAAAACAAATTTCAGCACACAATTCTCTTTGCCAGCTTCAAAGCCATGGGAAATGTGAAACCACTCAATACCAACATTTTAAAGCCCTTCACTGCGTCCAACGCAGGCAGGCACCACTGTAGGTAAAAACAAACTCAGCGTTTACATCTTCAATCCACACTAATCATTCACTCTTACGCGTCTGCTTCATGGATTTTTTTCTAAATATATAATATCTGCATCATCTCGCTGTCAACACTCCCCCCCCCAAGAGGCCTCAGGATGATAAAGTGTCTCCCTCTTGAACCCTAGCTGCTTGTAAAAGCCTGATGACAGTCCACAGGGCATAATGCTTTTAGATCCACATGACTTGTCAACTACCTGGGTATTCCTAGGCCTGGCCTGCGGTTTGACTTCAGAAGCCAGAAATCAAAAACAAAGAAATGCATGAAATTACTCCTGAGCTTTGACCAACTAATAAAGGCAACCAATTAAAAGGAACCCACAGAGCTGTTTTGAAATGTCAAAAAAATAAAACCCTATGATACTCAATTCCAATTCCTATAATGTTGCTTCTTCAAAGTGAGGATTAAGAGAGTAAGCTTTACAAGTTCTGAAATCTCACAGAGGGGGTACCAGTATCACACAAAATGCAGAAAAAAAATCGGCAACCACAAAAGTGGGTGAAAGAAGATGCTGAGAACAAACCACGAGAGACACTGATTAAAGTTAGAAGGAAAACGTGGGTTTAGAGTTCAAAGAAGCTGTACTCTCTTGTTCAACACCCTCACTTTACAGCTGGGGAAACTGAGGCCCGTGCAATACACACCAAAAAGTAAAATGTTATTCTGTCATCCAGAAAGGAAAACAAAAACAAGAGCGAAAAAAGCACTCGAAACAGGAAATGATCATTCTGTATGGCTCTAAAAGACAGGGCCCTAGCGCCCAGATTCCCGCTCGACCCAGCCTCTCTAGCGAAACAGTCACGCAAACACGCGCGGGCAGTCCCACGAGGTCCTGGGTGTCTACAGCGTCTACGGACGGCCTGGGGGCACAGAGAAACAAGAGTGAGCCCTGCCCACCGGGAGTTCACGGTTCCGCGGTGGAGACGCGTCACAACCACGACAGGTGCCCAAGGTCGGGTGGGAGTGTCACACCGACAACTAAGCCCCGCCGTACGGGGGCAGCAAGCAGGGGAAGCTGCGGGCCCCTCGCCAGGCCCAGGCGACCTACCCGGACGCGGGTTCCCTCCGCCAGGCTCTCGGGGCCCGCCCGCCCTGCCCGTCTCGGCCCCGGAGCTCGGGGAGGCCGGCGGGGCTGGAGGGACCGTCCGGGACGGCGCCTGCCCCCGCGGGCGTTCCCCGGGTTCTGCTCCGGCTCCGCCCTCTCGAGTGGGCCGCTGGGGCGGGGAGGGCTGAGGGGGCGCCGGGCGACAGAGCACGCACAGGCCGACCGCCTGGAGCCGAGGGCCCGGCGCAGCACCGGCAGGGGCGCGGGGAGCGCGGGGTCCGCCGCGGGGAGGACGCACGGGCGCGGCGCCGCTTTCCAGGAAAGCCTGGAAGTCCCGCCCGGTTCCCGGGCACGCTCACCTCGGCCAGGCCGCCCCGGTCCTCGGTGTCCTGGCCGCTCAGCACCTTCTTCAGCTTGTCCATCCCGGGACGGGTCCACACGACGCAGCCCCGCTCGGCCGCCTGTTGAGCTCGCTGAGTCGGCGGCTCTTCCGGGTGCCGGGCCCGCCGCCGCCGCCCGCCAACCGCGGCGCGCTCCGCCCAGGTACCTGCCCACCTGGCGGCCGCCCGCGCAAGCGCCCCGCCGCTTTCACCAGCAGGCCGCGGGGGCGGGAGGCGGGAGGCGGGAGGCGGGACGCCCTGGGGGCGCGGGGGTTAAGGTCCGCCCAGCCTCGCTCGGCGGCCCGGCCTCCTTCCCGCGCCGGGGTGGAAGCCGGACCCGCCCCCCTCCCGGCCCTCCTGAGTTCAGTCAACAAACGCTGCGTGCCTACCGGGCACAGGAGTGTTTTTCTTGTTAATGTTGCCACAGAGCTTGTTCTAGATGGAACTTATTCCGGGTGGTCTCAAGTGGAACGATTTTTTTTTTTAATTCACTTGTAACTTCAGTCTAGACCAAGCTACTGTGATCCCAACTAAAAATGCTTCTAGAGGTATGATTTGGGCAAAAACTCGAGGAAAGGGTAGAACTTGGATAAGGAGTGGAGAAAGGCATAGTAGCTTGTTGGGCCGCCCTCAAAGCGGATTCCAGCGCTAATGATTTCAGGTTGGAGAATCCGTGCAGCCCGTTTAAACCCCAGGACCGGGCGGGAGACACATAGGCTCACATCTCGGACTGCTGCCTGGGGAATGTTTGAAAAGCTATCTTCGAGATTAGATCGGCTCAGAAAAGCAAATCCACAGCGAGGTTGTGCGGAGCACACACTGGAGAATCTCCCCGCTGTCTCCCTCACCGCTCCCTTCTCCAAGAACACTTGTGAAAGAGTATGACTGTGTATCTGGGCGGAGAGAATGTAGATGTTACCTAGAACTTGGGCCTCTTGGGAATTATAAATCAACCAGGCAAAAGGGATTTGCACAGGACCCTATTCAAGTCAGTCAGATGGCTGTAATTATGTGACCTCATCTTTATAGATACTCAAACATGCTCAGCCATAATTTTAGTTTATGTCTCAGATCTCCAATAACAAATGCTGTTGTTTTTCCCCTGTTGCTCTTACGCCCTTGTTCCACTCAGGTAAATTCCTACACATCCGTCAAGACTCCTAACACCAAGACACGGTGGAAAGCTCATCCATTGTGAAGTTAGGAAGATCTGGGAGGTGCAACTATAGAACCATCACTTACCAGCTATGTGGCACTGAACAAGTTACCTAACCTTTCTGGTCCTCAATTTTCTCATCTGTAAAATGGACATAGAGTACCTCTGAAAGATTTTGTGGGAAGTACACCTGACAGTATGTGAGGAGAGCCTGGAACATGGCAGGCATTCTGTGGCATCTATGGAAGCTAGTATTACTCCACCATCTCCTCTGAAACCTCCTCTAGCCCAGTCCACACTGATGTGGCAGTTGCTCCTTCCTCCCACAGCATTTTAAACCCCACGCTATTGCCATTATCCATGTTCAAGTCTGTCCCCTATACCTCATGAGTCCTCACAGTTCCATTCATTTTTTACTCTGCCAACCCAGAAAGGCACCTAGAAGATAGTGCTCAGTTAATACCATTAAGTGAATGAATGAATGAGTAAATGAGAGACTTTGGGTCTGCCTTTTTTTTTTTTTTTGAAGACTTTATTTATTTATTCCTAAGAGACAGAGAGAGAGAGGCAGAGGGAGAAGCAGGCTCCCTACTGAGCAGGGAGCCTGATGCGGGACTCGATCCCAGGACCCTGGGATCATGACCTGAGCCGAAGGCAGATGCTTAACCATCTGAGCCACCCAGGCGCCCTTGTGTCTGCTTTTGCGATAGTGTGAATTGTAACAGACAGATGGGCAGATGGGCAACACTTAAAATGGCCATGCTGGGCAAGTCAGCAGATATAGATAGGCTTGTTTTTGTCAGCCAACTAAGACAATTGGTCTGCCCTCCTCCTTCACCTCCACTCCCTGCATTCATCAGAGTAAAAGAGGTCGTTTGTTTATTTGTTTTAAGATTTTATTTTTAAGTAATCTCTATACCCAGTGTGGGACTCGAACTCACAACCCGGAAATCAAAAGTCTCACACTCCACGGACGGAGCCAGCCAGGCACCACCCCTTGTCACAGTAAAAGAGGTTTTGTTCAGAAAGGCCTTATCTGTAATCTCAGCTCAAACGTAAGAGCAGTATTTCTTTCAGAACTGGGCAGGATGGCCTCTCCTCTCGGCCCATGCTTGTAGGGGAGCCTGCAAATCACACACACACACACACACACACACACACACACACAAATGTGTGAAAGAACACATGGCTCTTCTTTTACTTGAGATGTGGCACCAGCACCAGCATGCCCCCTCTCACAAGTAACACCGTTTAGACCCCAGGGCACTCCTTCTCCATGTCTCCTGCCCTCTGCCCTTGAAACAAAAGGCATGTGAATGTGTGGGGGTTGTGGGTTGTGCCACTACCAGTGCCGACACACTGCTTCAGAGGGCCAGTGGGACAGGAACTGTGGAGGTGATTCGGTACAAGACAAATCCAGGGGCGCCTGGGTGACTCAGTCGTTAATCATCTGCCTTCAGCTCAGGTCCCGGCTCCTTGCTCCATGTTGGATGCCATCTTCTCCCTCTCCCACTCCCCCTGCTTGTGTTCCCCCTCTCCTGTCTCTCTGTCAAATAAATAAATAAAATCTTTAAAAAAATAAAATAAAAATAAAAGACAAATCCACCTGTCACATCCCTCCACTGAGACACCTTGATTGCAATAGATCCTTAGGTAACGACATGCCATTTCTGCCAGTGCCAAGTCTCCATTTTCCTGTTTCTCTAACACAAAATTCCAGAGGGACTCCCAAAAATTAGTGCAGTAAATGCAACAGTTCACGTGGAGGCTAAGGCATATTTTTCATCATGAAACAATTCATATTACTCTCTCATGTGTATAGATGTATGTCTAGGCATAACATACATGAAACATGATACTAAGTCAAAGACATGGAACACTAGAATCACAAATAGCTTCTTCATAATCATGTTTAATAAGATTTCATTACATTCTCAAAAAGTCAAGTAAAAATTTTAACTGTAAATACTTGAAATTTAATTTTTCACAGGTTAATTATCAATTATATGTCTTTCCTTTAACTTTTGTAGATAATTTTGAATATTTTAGAAAAATAGCTCTTGAAAGCATAAAAAATATTTTGAATTGAATTTATTCAATTTATTTTGAAATTGAAGTTATTCAATTCATTTTGAAAATGAATTTATTATTACCATAATATATTCCAATTTTGTAATAATAATTGAATTTAGTCATCTTTGATATTTTGCCAACTTTTAGTCATATAAAAGCCATAACTGTACACCTATTTGTCAATGTAGGAGGATCAAACATAATTTATTTAACAACTGTTTGGCTTGATTTACAGCTTTTAATATTTAGGCATCTGACTTAGAGGCTCCCATTTTCTGTTTTCCAGGCCCTGCAAATTTTGGGGTACACCTGTCTGTAACTACCCTGGTCAAAGGACTTGGGTTGCCTAAGTGGAAATGCTAGATTGATTCAAGATGTAAAAATACAGGGATTTTCTGCAATAAAAAGGAATGGAATAATGACATGGATGAACCTTGAAAACATTATGCTAAGTGAAAGAAGCTACACATAAAAGGCCACATATCGTATGATTTCATCTGTATAAGATGTCCATAATGGGCAAATCCAAAAAATAGATGGGTGGTTTCCATGCGTTGGGGGCAGAGGAGCATGGGAAGTGATGGCTAATGGGTACAGGGTTTCTTTTGGGGTGATGAAATGTTCTAAAATCAATTGTGATGATGACTGCACAACTCTGTGAAAATACTAAAAAATGTTGAATTGTATGCTTTAAATGAGTGAATTCTATGATACATAAATTATATTGCAATAAAGCTGCTTAAAAATGCTTAGCACAGTGTCTATGCATATTTCCCAACCCATGAATGTTATTTATTATATAATGTAACAGGAGTCCACTCTTATCTTGCCTAAATGTGTCTAAGTTTGAACCCAGAATATGGGACTCCTAATTTATCTACAGATACATTGGCCAATGTATGGGTGACTCATTGTGACATTGTTTATAATACCCAAAGATCGGAAACAACCTAAAAGTCCATTGGTGGGAAGAATGGTTACATAAATTATGATACATCCATTCATAAGAATGTAAAGCAATCGTTGGAAAGAGAAGAAGAAGGAAGCTCTTTGCATATTGATATGAAACCATCTCCAAGATATGTTAGGAGAAAAAAAATCAGATCCAAACAGGTAGATGACAGATACATGACAGACAGAACATGTGTGTAGACATATCTATATTTACCTATATATGCATAAAACATATCTGGGAGGACAGAAAAACAAAAATAAACAAAAACTACTGAGGTTACACTTTACCTCAGCGAGGGAAACTAGGTGACCCTGCAGCAGAGAACTTTTCACTGTGTATCTACTGACTTTTCAGTTATGAACCTTGTGAATGTACCTGCTCTTCAAAATAAATAGACACACAAAAGGTTACATATCATGTGATTCCATTTATATGAAATATCTAGAACAAATAAATCCATGGAAACAGAAAGCGGACTGATGGTTGCTAGGGGGAGGGAGGACTGGGGAGAAACCGGTCAAGGAGATGAAAATAGTTTGGAACAAGGTAGAGGTGGTGGTTGCACAATACTGTGAATATATTTTTCACTTTGAAATGGTTAATTTTGTGTTATGTAATTTTCACCTCAATAAATTATTTTTTGAAAGAAAATGAGGGTGAGGAAAAGGAAAAGAGGAAGAAGGAGACAGGAAAGGAAGGAGAGGGAGGGAGGGAGGGGCGGGAGGGTGCAGAAGTTCCATCCCAGAGCTGCAGCTGGCCTGGAGGGTTTTAAACAAACAGCTTTGTACGCAGAGGCCTGTGCTAAGTAAGGAATTGAGAGAGGAGACAGTTGTCACAGTGATCAAGAAGTGGGAGTGAGAAGACCAGGCGCTGGCTTGGGCACCAGAGCAGATGGGTGCACGCTTCCTTCTGTCTCCTGGGCGCTCCCCTCCGATGTCCAGAGCCTTTGTTT